CTGTTTGTTTTTTTTTTTTTTTTTTTTTTTTTTTTTTTTTTTTTTTTTTTTTTTTTTTTTTTTTTTTTTTTTTTTTTTTTTTTTTTTTTGTTTTTTTTTTTTTTCTCCTGGAATTATTTTAAAAACCAAAACCGAAAAAAAAAAAAAAAAAAAAAAAAAGAAAAAGCAGAGGATAGGGGTGGGAAAGTAAGGAAATGAGAAGGAAAGCTCCAGCTGGAAAAATGTTGGGAATTGCTGTTCCAGAAGCTGCACTCGCAAGTAAAAGGAGGACACAGAAAAGTCAGTGTTAATACCCTTGGAGAAGAGAGGAATGTTGAATGGGAGGAAGCGCAAGGCCCTCGTTGATGTTTTTTTGCTGCTGGCCCACTGGTGGCTGGCGTGTTTGTGAAGTTCAGCTGTGAGTTTTGCAATAAGGCAGACCTGAGGGGGGGTGACTGGTCCTCCACGTGGTGGGGCGTGCAGAAGTTAAAGCAAATGGGTTCAAGTTCAAACAGTGAGAGTGAATAAAGGTAGTGTGAAGTACTATGCTATTAAAAAAAAAAAAAAAAAAAAACATTTACAGTGCCAGTTGGTAGGGAGTAGTACCGTACCACAGATACAGAGAGATTAGAGGGCTATAGCAGGCAATAAAGGGTAATGTGATATACATCTTTGTTCTTTGCTATAGCTGCTTGAATCACTGGCGCCCAATATAACAAAGAATAGATAAGCAATATAGTATGTATTGCAGTGTAGTCTGCTTTCCAAGTCTCAGGATTTCGAAGGATAACAAAATATTTGCACGGAGAAATTGTATTTTTTTTTTTATGGGGACAGGGTTCACTCGTGCTTGGTAATGCAACAGTGAGCAAAAAAACTAGCACTTAGTTTGCCGACACAGAAGTCCTTTTCCTACATCTCAAGAGCTGTAACATACAGCAGCGTTGAACCTGCAGGTTTTTCCAGTTCTCTGAAACAGCAGCATAGGTTTCTTCTAGGCTAACTCTTAGCATGGCAAAGGGGGATCACAACAATTGTGATTTGAACCTCAGGCCTTTTCATGATAGAGGTGATCTGTTAAAATAGTGCATTAATAAAACAAAGACCAAAAAAATGTATCCCCTGTGTGTTTCTGTGTTTGGTTTATACACCTGCTTAGGTGTAGTATTTAAAGTCTAAATGCCTTACCTCCTTCATACCCTTATCTTCCCTACCCCTATATGGTAGGGAAGAAGTGTAGGCTATAAGTGGGAGTATAAAATACAGAGAGACTGAGTCACTTGTTCACACTATTGAAGGGGGGGAGCTGTAGCGGAAGCAGGTGAGAGCCAAATCCTGGGTTAGACTGAGTGAAAAGGTATGTCTGGTAGGTAAGGTGCTTCTTCTGCCTGGAAAGATAATATTCAGAATATTTTTCATAGACTAGGATGGTTCTGCCGGCTTCTTGCTATGATTAACACTTTAAAGCTGCAACTCTTTTCTGCTTCTCTGGAAAATATATTCCTTATGCCATGAAAGCAGCGTAGTTTTTAAAATAGATGCTAAAAATCATACCATTTGTATACACAAATCTTCTGCCTTTAATTTTTGTGCTGGTTTTTTTTTTTCAAGAAGTTGATACGGGTCAAACCAAGAATTTTAAATTCCCTTAATCCGGTGTCTTGCTGTTTCAAGTCCTGAGTCAGCACCAGCATTGCAAAGCTGTCTAGAAGACTGGGACAGCTTCTCCTGTTTTGTGTCTCATGGGGGTGTCTCTTCAGGATAACTGCAACGCTGTGGGAAAGCACGACACCCCCACTTGTTGTTTTCTGTTTCCACTTGGAATTGCACCAAGTTTGCTCTTACCCTCCAATGCTTCCTCAGGATAGGTGGCAGTGCCACAAAGCGTTTTTTTATGTTCAGGATTAATACTTCTCTTTTTACATAGGTTAAGTAGCTTTTGTGTAGTCTGTGGGGAAACTGTAGGACTGAAGTGACAGAATCTCTCTGTTGCCCTTGCAGCTCTAATAAGTAAAGTTATTCCGTAGTGGTTCATGCTTAGTGGCAGTTTTACAGAACATTTTCCATCTCTGTGGCTTTTTGACCAAAAGCTTTTTGAGACCACTAACCCTTGTGGTCAGACCAAGTCAGATCCGAGCCTGACCTTAGTCTCTGTTGCCCCTGTGACTTGTGTCCTCTTCCTAGACCTTGCCCCAGCTTTGCCACCCATCCATAGTGGCCCAACGTCTCTGAACCCTGGACAGTGGCTTTGTCTCCTCTCCCTTGCTCAGGCTGGCAGCTGACAGCCCTTCTAGGTGGGAGTGCAGTCACTTACCAGGTAACTCACCCTCTTAGGTCACTCTCTATTGCATTATAATTTGTTTATACAACATATCCATTAGTCAAACAGAAATGATATAGACATTAACCAGGAAGCTGTTGCCATCTGTCCTGAGAGATGACGTGCCACAAACATTAGCACAGGAGAAAACCATGATTTTAATTGAGAAAATGTAGCCTTATTTTCCTTACAGTTCTACAAATGGAATTCCTCTGGCACTGTTGAAGTTGCTTCTTGCTTGCACTCATGAAAATGGGAGGAGAGTTGTTGGGGTTTGTGCCTTTTGTGGCTGCATCTCTTTTGAGCCCATCAGTCTCAGCCCTATCAGGGCTTTGAGATGGAGTTTCTAGACCTGACGGATGTCTTCCAGGTAGTTTTCATCTCCCCCTGCTCTCCTACAGGAGAAGTTCCCTCTATGTATTCATACTCCTGTTCAAATGTATTATTCAGAAATGCACGACTTCAAGTAAGTCTTCCCCTCTAATCAGATGCTTCTAATAAAAGTAATAAAAGTGTGATTTTAGTGTGAACCGTTTTTATTAAGGTCTTGCTCACACATGGCCTCTTCAAAATAATAAATAAATTAGAAATAATAAATGATGATTCATCAAAGTAGTTAATGATGTAAACCATTTTCTAAACTGTGACTCTAAAGCAACAGTGTAATATAGTCACTTGCTCCCGTCATGTATAGAAAAATGTTGTAACTAGTTGACCATCAGGTTTTGTGTGCTTTCTTTCCTCCTTTCCAAGGCAGGTAATCCAAGCCTGAGCATTTAACCTCAGAAAACATAGGCTTGTTTTAAACTTTGTAGTTTTTTAAGATTGTTTGTAATGGATTTAACGTAATTCACATTCTGATTTCTTTATGCCATTATTCTTCAGTACGGGAAGAGAAACTATTGAAATTGTGTGACTTCAGTAGGCAAAGGCTTCAGGGGAATCCGAGACGTTTGTG